CGGCTGCGGAGAGGCCGCGGGGCGGCGGGATGCGCGGGGGGCGCCCCGCGGAGCCAGGTACCGGCAGGGCCGAGGCCTCCCCGGTGCTTTGTGTGCGTGCGGAGAGGGGAAAGCGGGAGGGTGAGCAGCCCCAGCGCAGGCCGTTGGCTGCCGACCCGCCTGGAGAGGGTCCCCAGCCCGCGGTCACCTGTGCCCCAGGCTTAGCCTGGCCCCGTCGGGAGGGCTGCGAAACCTCCCCGGGGGACGGGGACGCGGACGGGGACGGAGCTCGAGCTCCAGCGCAGCCGGCCGCTTCCCAAGCCGCTCCTCAGCTTCACAATGAAGTCGCTCCGTAACCTCGGCTTGCGTTGCGCTGGGTTTGGGGTCCGGAGACGAGATCAGCTTTGTGTCTCTCGCTCCTGACACCCCCGCCCCCCTATAACGGGAGGTAAGGCAGCGAACAAAAGGGTTCAAGAAGCCTTACCTGTCTTTTTTTACCAGATCTCTTCCTGGTGTCTTTGTCTTTAGGCCTAGTTTTATCTGGAGATGGCCTGCTTCTCTTCTTTCTCACTACCCCGGGATTCGCTTTCCTAGCTTCCCTTCAGCTCCCCAATTTTTCCTGCACGGCTCAGCAGCCTGTCAAGTATGTTGGGCCGTTTCGGGGAGCTCCCCACTACCCCTGGGTGTGCTCTTGGCCTGCGCGAGGGTCTCTCTGGGCGTCGGAATTCTGACAAACAGCTGCTGGGTGTGCTGTACCCCGCGCCCGGCTCAGCTCCCAGCCTTCCACCTGGGAAGGGGGATCAGTCTAGGGGCTTAGTCTCTGGCCCTGGGGGATTGACAGCCTGTGACCTGGTTCGGCTTTCAAGTTCTTAGGTCTTTGTCGTTTACCTTTCCCTTCGCAGATCTCTTTACACCTCCCACTGAGAAGTGTGCTCAGGGTGGAGGAAACAGGGGTCAAAAGGTAAAGAGAAAGTTGGCCTCCTGGTTCAGTTTGAATTAGAACCTGAGCATAATATGGAAATGCTTAGGGAGGCCCAGGGTTGCTTGTGGGAGACGCAGCTTCCTGGGAAGGGTTACGTGTTATCTTGCTGTTCTTCAGGCCCGGTTCTGGGAGAAGCAAAATGTACAGGTTCTCTCTGCCTCTGCTTGCCGTACTTCACTTCCTTGCTCCTCTCTCTGTTTTTTTTTTCCAGTAGCAGGAATCGAACTCACGACCTTGCTTTTGCCAAGCAGGTGCTGTGCGGCTGAGCTAAATCCCCAGCCCCGCTTCGTTGCTCTTCTCTTTGTGACTGTGTTAGAGGGGGAATCATTGCCTTCCACAGTTCCCCCAAGAAATACCCCGTTGTCTCCGTTAGACCTCCAGAGGCATGCTGCTTCCCCAGCCAGAACTCCATAAACCTTCAGAATTTTACAGTTCCTGGTGCTGTTGGCTGGAGATCAAGGTCCTGCAACTCCAATTTTAGGGTGTAACTGAGGAAGAGTAGGAAGTGTCCCTTACCACTGACACCCAACTCTGGGGACCTGGGCTGGTGGCAGCACAGTTCACCTTCCTGGTTAGGGGTTCCCGGGGCCTCCTTTCTACCACCCCCCCGCCATACCGGGAATCAAACTCACAACCTTGCACCTTGCAGGTGCTGTGCTGCTGAGCTAAATCCCCAGCCCCAAGAAATTATTTTTTCTGCTCAAGAAGCTTCCACAGCCCCTGGGGAAGAAATAAAAGAGATGTCTAATGTGGGGTCTATTTTTCTTTCCTTTCTCTCTTTTCCCTAGTATATACAAGCTGAACCTCCCACCAACAAGTCCTTGTCTAGCTTGGTCGTACAGTTGCTACAGTTTCAGGAAGAAGTTTTTGGCAAGCATGTCAGCAATGCACCGCTCACCAAATTGCCGGTGAGTGCAGAAGCAAGGGGATGAGTCCTCCCAACTGGAGAGAGAATTGTATTTTTAAAAATACTTGTAAATTTTGTAATTTTTGAGATGTGCTTTATTTCTAACCATCCCTAGTGCCCGTCAAGGCATGAAGGTTTGGCCTAGTCCCCATAGTACCACTCCCTTTGTCTTGTAATACTTTTTGCAACAAGTTATCCGACAGTAGCTGGGCTCAGTCCTGGGATCTCTCCCTATGGATAAAAGGGTGTGAGATTTGGATTTGCACAGGTTTGCGTTCAAATCCTGGCTTTGCCACTTGATGGCTATACGATCATGGGCAGTGGTTATCAGTTGTGTGGTTCCTTCGCCTCTCGCGGAGATTGCTATACCCACCTTGTAGGAATTCTGCAGTAGCAAAGGAAGTAACCCAGTAAAGTGGTCTGCGTAAGGTGATACTTTGTGAATGTTGGTTTCCTCTCCCAGGCCACATGATGAACTGGCAAAAGAGTTAAAGAATTTTAGTTCTGAGAGGCAGATTAGTTCAGCATGGGCTTTAGTAAAAAGATTTCTAAGTGATAAGAGAATTTACAATGTAACCCTCACATGCTTCTTCTCTGTCTGGATTTTGTAGATCAAATGTTTCCTAGATTTCAAAGCCGGAGGCTCCCTGTGCCACATACTTGCAGCTGCTTACAAATTCAAGAGTGACCAGGGATGGTGAGATGCTTTCGCTGTATGCTTCTTACACGAGTTTAGAGAGAAACCCCCATTGTGATTCACTGAGGTCTTTCTGGGGGGAGAACACAGTTATAAATTCCATGTGTTGCTAATTCTAGTTCAGAAAAGTAGATGCGGGGGTGGCACAGGCCTGTCATCCCAGCACTCAGAAGGCTGAGGCAGGAAGATCACTGGTGAGTTCAAGACCCTGTCTCAAAAAACAAAACAAAAAAGTAGGTGAGAGTAAGAGCCAAAAATATTTTCTGTGAGTGTGTGTGTGTTTTGCAGAAGAAGAGAGATACTAAAATTGATATCTCAGATTTTTCTTTGTCCTTTTGGACTAAGCAGAGTGATTCCTGGAGTTGAGATCAAGAAACCCAGATCCTGGGCGATTTTAGCAACTGCTGTGAGCGAGATTATGTCCGAATTCCCCATGTTAAAAGTCACAGACGGGCATTGATAATTTCCTACCACTTTGTCTGTAATTTGGTTAAGCCCCCCCTATTATTATGTTATCCTTCTTTTACTCTTTAAAGTAAAATAAAATAACATAAAAAAGTCACAGACAGGGCTGGGGATTTAGCTCAGCAGCACAGCGCCTGCCTGGCAAGCGCAAGGTCATGAGTTCAATTCCTGGTACCAGGAAAAAAAAAACAAAAGAAAAAAAAAAGGTCACAGACATCAACTGTATCTCACTAGATTATTGTCTCTCTTT